AATGGAATTTAAATTAACATCAATCCTGAAGTTAAAGCTAAAATGTAAGAAAAGTGGAATAGTGATTTTAGAACCAGGAAAGTCCTGGCTCCGCAGCGAAATGGGCCTAAAGTTTAAAATTTTGAAGTTTGTTCTCATGCGCAGCTATCACGTAATGAGAGCGATAAGAATGAACGAGACTTTAAAACGATAAGCTAACTCGCTAAAGACACCTCGTCCTACTCTGATTCTATTGCGATGGTAAGAAATACTAACACAGGCGGGTAGAGTTTTAACTCAGAATGCGGGCTGAACATCCTTGCCATTTGCGTGTACCGGTTCTCGAGTACGGGATATGCAGGGGGAGGCATCGTCTGATACGGCGATTTCTCATAGATGCCAGCCGGCTCCTGCAGCAACACTCACATTTACATTCTTCCAAATTTAACACCCAAACGAAATTTATTTCAGAAAAATCTGCCTAAAAAGCCAAAACCATTTTCGAGCAATTGTTTAGAGAAAGAAAACGCCGAAAGAAAGAAGCGAACTTTGATTGCTTGCGTGAAGATGGTCAATCGTGGCCGTGCCAGCTGCTCAGCGCTCGTGTCCTCATCCAAAATCTAGACCAAGCAGCAGATAAGCCTGATGAATGACGATGAAAATTCAATTACTAATTAAAGCATATTAAGACCAAACCTTGACGGAAAGCAATGTGCAAATGAGAGATGCGAGGACAAGGAAAAGCCCAGAAATGAGAAATACGGAACCAGCAAGCTGGATAGGTCTCCGATAATAATCCTCAAGATTGGACAACGACGAGTTATCCACCGAAAAATGTGCCAGGGAAAGCATTAAAACACCACCCAACAATAAAAAAGCGCCGAACGCACTTATGCATATCCCAGATGACGACCCTCGAAATTTCCTAAAACTTACAAAATTATAATATCACAAATGCGGTGATCCATACCAAAGCAACCACACTATTATGAAACCCAGACAGCAAGGCTCAGCAAGAGTTTCCGGTACGATCATGCGTTCTTGCAACAAAATTTGAAGCAATCAGACCGTTCAAACTGTGAATGTTTGCTACTTTACAACGGGTTCATGTGGTTATGTTTTGTTTTTTTCTTACATGCGGGAAAAGCGGTCAGCTTGAACGGTGCTGTTGCACTATGAAGTCGATGAAACCTTAACTCAGCCCCAAACATGATTGCCGTAAATTAACATGAAGGGATGTGAAAACTTCGCTGTCGCCAGTCATTCAGTAAAAATCGAAATTGGACAATCAGCAAGGTATATAGAGACAAGGATGATGGAATCCAAGCGAAATGAATTCTTTTTTGAGATTAATAATAGAAATGAGTATTTGTGGTTTCCGTGTGCAGGGTATTTAACCTCCAAGCTGAATTTAGACCACATGTGAATATAGAATATTCTTTTAAAATTCCAGCTTCGCAGCTTGCTCAACACGCAGAACCGCCAC